GTTCAAACTGAAACAGGGGAAGTTCAGGTTGGATCTAAGGCAGAAGCTCTTCCCTGGGAGGGTGCTGAGGTGCTGGCACAGGGTGCCCAGAGAAGCTGTGGCTGCTCCATCCCTGGCAGTGTTCAAGGCCAGGTTGGACAGAGCCTTGGGTGACCTGGTCTAGAGTGAGGTGTCCCTGCCCATGGCAGGGGGTTGGAACTGGATGATCTTCAGGTCTTTTCCAACCCAAAACATTCTACGATTGAATCCCTTTTGGATTTCTGCTTATGAATTTATCCTGTTGCCCAAAGCAACCCTTTTTCATTTTCTCTTCTTGTGTTGTGCTCTTGTCACTTCCTTTTGGTCTATTTGAGCTGTTCCCAGAAATGCTAGATAAGTATTTTCTCTAAAATACCTTGAATTCCTGGGGATTAAAGATGTATTTCATTGTCTGTTTTAAACAGTCTTGTTATTGCCTCATAGTGACCTGATATGATGGGACACTACTGCTGAAATCCAGCATCCTGTCAGATCCCACCCTTTACAGGGAACTTCCAAAGGGTGTCCTTTTACAGGAAGGAAAACTCAATTTTCCAGGTATTATCTTGTGTGTTCAGTTCAGTTATTGTCTCACGAGGAGACTGAGACTGGAAAGGAGAGATAAAGAACATGAAAACACTTAAAATGATGCTCATGTTTACAGAAAGATGAGAAAATATCCCTAAAGCCTGTTGATGGAGCACAGATCAGATGCTGCAGCGCAGCTCGGTGCACAATGTAGGGGAATGAATGCAGTTCTTCTGTGAAGCTGCTGCTTCACCTCCCCACATGCAAATGATGCAGTGATTTGTGATTCTGGTTTCTGAAGGCCTGGCTAATTAAAGGAGAAACACAGTATAGTGATGTCTACCTCTAGCAAGGCTACACTGCCCTAACTAGCATGCTTCTATAATCTTCATTAAGCAAGGTCCAAAGCTTTCGACTCCATTTGAACACATTTGCAATCGAGTTCTCAGCACAAAAATAGCCAAAATGAGTTAGTTCCTGGGTAATTCTCTAGAAATCACTTGCTGTGTCTCTGTAAACAGGAAGAAATGATGAGTAACCCGATTTTTGCAAGGGATGAACCTATCGAAGTGTGAAGAGAAGGAACAGCTTCTAGAAACCTTGCACAGGGTCGGTCTGGCTTGCAGTGGGTGTTTGCGTGGTGTATGTAGGACAGAGGGTTTGGGGTGAAATCCTTGCTTTGTGTCCCAGGGCTTCCTTCCCTTCAGCACTGGGTTTCTTAAGCTGGTTGTGTCCAGTGGCACTGCACTGATGCAAACGTGGGGTTAGGTTGTAGACACGGTGCGCCTGGATGTATTGTGGCAAAGAGGAAACCCATAAAACAAACTGGAGGGAGCCAGAGAGTAATATAAGCAGGAAAATTAGACATTTATTTATAGTTATTGCAGTTTTGCTGTAAAGCCCTTTAACAAAAGTTTAACACTCAGCAAGTAACTCCTGTGCCAGCAACTGTCCCACTTGGCTGCATCTCTACCCTAAACATGCTGAATCTGGGGCTTCAGCTCCCTCTGTCTTGTAGGGAGGCAGCTGGGGGTACATCTCAGATTCTCCCTTTTCACAATAGGAATATGAATATGGAATATGAAGCCCTGGCACAGAGAAATCCTGCCCGAAAAGCAGTGCCAGGGGAGCCTCTGGGAATAGAGGCAGGCTTAAAACAGCTTCCCTGGCTTTCTGCTTGACCTTTACCAGGTTACTCACTCATTGGTGAGTGGCTTGTTCAGTCCTCTCAAGGCTAGGATTGACCAAGAGGCTTAGAAACCAGGGAGGACAGCTTTCTGCATCGATGATGGGCTCATTTGGAGATGCTATTATTTATATCAGGATCACTGGCTCTGGCCAGGTTAGGAGCTTACCCACCACATGCTCACAAGAAGATGACGTCTTTGCCTGCGAGGCTTATATATAATCTACTTTTCAAAAGCTTCTGACACACACAGGGCATCAGGCTGCCAAACAATAACACCGTGGTGTAATAGCCACTGCCCAGCACATGTGGGGCATGGTGTTATGGAGAGCACTTCTGCTGACGTCCGTGCTGTTTGCTGATTCAGAGCAGAGAGAGATGTTAATCCATCTGCGCTGCTCTTCAAGAGGATGCTCTTCACTTCTAGTGGTCTTGTGATGAAGATGAGCCAGCCGTATGTGAAAGTTTGCAGCTCAAGTGGGGTATCTAAACCATCAGTACCAGATCAGTACTGTATCATCAGGAATGGTTATAGATATGTGCTGAAGGTTTATGCAATTGAAAGGTGAATTCTTACACACAATCCTCAACTGGAAAAAAACTACACTTCAAGTAGAATATAAACCTCTTATGATTTATATTGGGTAGCTTTCTAATATCTCAATACAAGAAACCTGGAGAGGAGCTTTGGACAAGGGATGGAGGGACAGGCCAAGGGGAATGGCTTTATCCTGCCAGAGGGGAGACTGAGATGAGCTCTGAGGCAGAAGCGCTTCCCTGTGAGGGTGCGGAGGCGCTGGCACAGGGTGCCCAGAGAAGCTGTGGCTGCCCCATCCCTGGCAGTGTTCAAGGGCAGGTTGGACACAGGGGCTTGGAGCAACCTGCTCTAGTGGAAGGTGTCCCTGCCCGGGGCAGGGGTTGGGGCTGGAGGAGCTTTAAGGTCCCTTCATCCCAAACCCATCTGGGATTCTGTGATGTTTCAGCTTCAAAGTGTATGTTTCTACAGAACAGTTCTAAGTGTTGTTTCCTCCGCAAAGCTGTATTTTCAACACAGGTCTGGCCAAAGTTTTGTGAGTTTATTTAACTTGTATTTGTGGTTATGTTCCTGGGAAGGGAATAGATGTGCCTCATCTGGGCAGCCACACACAGCCCTAAGTGGGATCTAGTTCAGTTTTGCCCTTACTGAAAAGTGAAGCTTGGTCTGAAAGCTCTGTAGGGGCCAAAGATGAGGCAGAAGAAGGATATTCCACTCGTGAGCTGGGATCACTTCACTGCATGGGGTTAAGAAAGGCTGCTCAGGCATTGGAACAGGCTGCCCAGGGCAGGGCTGGAGTCACCGTCCCTGCAAGTGTTCACAGCCCGTGGAGCCGAGGCCTCAGTGCCAGGGGTTAGTGGTGGCCTTGGCAGGGCTGGGAATGGTTGGACTGGATGAGCTTAAAGGTCTTTTCCAGCCTGCTTGATTCTATGATTCTAAGGACTTGTGTTGCATCTACGCAGCAACCCTTCCTGGCAGGCTGGTGGCCTTGTTTGCCGTTTGGTTTCTCTAGCTCAGTTGTCTTCTGTTTGAAGACCACTCACTTCATTTCCTTGTGATTGCTGCAGTCTCCAAAAGCAAGCACTGGGCATCACCCTGTGGAGAGGGCATCACCTTGCACTGTTATCCTGGGGAAACCGGAGCTGCTTGGGAGGGGAAACCCAAGATGCTAAAAGCAGCCCAAGGAGCCAGAGCAAAGATGGATCTTCAGATCTTTGTGGCTGGGGG